TGTGCCCTGAAAACTTTCACTCAATCCACAATAAAAACCTTTAAAAAAAAAAAAAAAAAAAAGATAATGGAGCTTTTCCACCAATTTGTTAAAGCACCGCTCTTCTCCCTATCCCCATATATATAAGCTAAACTAGCTTTATAAAGAATGGAAGTGTGAAACTTCTAAAACTTCTATAGTGTACAGTAGGAGAGTTTATCTTCTCTAAATAATGCCACTTACATGTTTGGAATGATAACAGACATTTAAACTTATTGGTTACTACTGGTGGCTAACATATTGGTTTCTTGATATGTCAGTGCCTTTATTTCTCCCCAAAGTAGTGAGATGATTAAATACCCTATTAAATTTTTTACTTTGTTTTCTAGAATCCAAAATGATTGAGAAGCATGGAGGATACAAATTCAGTGCTCCAGTTGTGCCAAGTTCTTTCAATTTTGGAGGTCCGGCACCAGGGATGAATTGAGTTATCACTTTCTTACCTGCTGTGTGCTTGTAGTGAAGAGCTTGTGTTCCTCCTAGTAGTGGTTCCAGAACTGGTTCATGTTATCTACTCTTAACTAATTGATCAATAGATTGGACAGAAAAAACCCCAGGAGGTGGGACCTGATCATGCAACCTGGCACTGGAAAAGAAACCAGAAGGATTTTTGGGGGGAGGTGGGTAACCTAGGGGAGGGGCTATTTTCTTTATTTTTTGAAGAACGTTAAGATCCTGACTCTGAAGCTTCAAATGACACTGTGGAAATCTACGACAAGAGGGGATGTCATGAAGGCAGCTTTTCTTTTTCTGAGGAAAAAATAGGCATGGGCTACAGGACTATTTAAAATGTCTCATTTACAGTGTAAGCTCAAAGGTAGATGTAATTTTTACACCTATGAGTATTTGTCCAATTTCTGTCTCTTCTTCACCATTGGGTATCTATTCTTTATATGTAAATAAGAAGGTAATCTGGTAGCCTTATTCAATCTTCATCATTTTCATCCATCAAAGATTGTTCCTATGTAGATTATTATTGTAGCACTACATAACTGATTAAAAAAATCTGTAAATGAATTAGCACTTTCATATTGAAACAAGCCTGCTAGCCTATGTATAAAATAGCAAAATGTTTGCTGTTTATAAAAAGAAGGGATGTAATGGGGTGGGGGGCAGGGGTAATTTCAAGTTATTAATTTAAAAATGAACTAGCAATTTTGTACCTGGTGACTTTGTGGTACACTCACCTCTGATAGTGACTTGAATTCGGTATGTACGAAGGGGTTAGTGATATTTCATTGCTGCTAAAAAAATGGCAACTCCCTTCATATCCTATGTTTTTTTTGTTTGTTTTTTTTCATAAAGCTGTCAGTGTACAAGTGGAAATTTGGATACATGACCTTACTGTAACAGATAAGGAAGGCTATCTTATTTGAAGCATGTAAATTGGACATAAAATTCTACTCTTAAAGAGTTGATCAAACAGTGTGGCTAAACATTTATATATGCAGTCTATTAAAAGAACTTAATTCGGCTAATGTCTTGATTTAATTGCAGTTTTTTTATCTGATTATAAGATTTTTTCTTCATTGGCCTGTTTTTATCTTGTACATAGAGTGTGAAATGCACACTTTTAATTCGACATTTAACACCTGCCCTCCTCCTTTCCCCATTTTCCCCCTACCCCTCATGTTAATTGTGGTATCTCATCTTTTCAAGTAGATAGGCTGAAGGCACACGGTTCCCTCCAAAAACCACCATTGATACCGCTGCAAACACAAGACAGTGTAGAGAGGTTGGCTTGCTTCCCCTCTCTCTTAACTGCATGTTCAAAAATAAGCCTTTATTGATCTTAAAAAATCTGTCAGATCAGTCACATGTTGGGTTATTTTTTATATAAATATATACATATGATGTTTCTAATTGAAAGCAACATCTCTTAATGGATTCAATACTATTAAATGCTGTCAAAAACAGACTAGAAAATTTATAACTGTAAAAATGATGAAACAAGTGCACATAATGATATTTAAAATGCAAAACTGAGAAAACTCATTGTTGTTGTGTTTTTCTTGTATATCGATAATTGAGCCACTACTGCTGGCCCTGTTTGGTTTTTTTTAATGCTGAAGAAGTAAAAGTATTTCATTTACTTTTGAATTTATTACAGAAATCTTGGCAAAAAAAAAATTGTCTATCTAAAATGTGTTGGTAAAAGCTGTTAATCAAATGTGTTTCTACTCTTCTCTTCTCCTTTAGTTGGATACCATCTGTTTAGTTTGCTTAAGAGAATTTCACTATTACATGAATTCAATAAAATGAAAAAGGAATAGTTATATATATATAACATTGTATACAGAGGGGAGATAATGAGTAGTATAGAAGAGAAACATTTTTTGTCTTCCTCTTTTAATCACTACCTAATCTACTTTTTAAAATTTGGACTTCACTACTCTGAATTGATAATTCCAATTTTCACACTATTGTTACTGGAAAACCATATCTAATAAAGGTTTTAGTTATTCTCTTGCATAGTATGAAAATTCTCATTTGCTGAGATTTTGTTTGAACAAAATGTCTTGGCATGTCTTTGAGAATAAGTTTTATTGTTTCCTGTCTCTTCCAATCCAAACTAAACTCCATTTATAGATTCTAACATAAAATTAGACGTAATAGATTTCAAATGATAGTTTCTAATGCATCAAGTATATACCTCAATTATTTTCAGTATTTCTTTAAATTTAATATCAAATTATAGTTTCTTATAAGTCATGGATTTTAATATATGAGTATTTCTAGATAACATTGTAGGATTTTTGAAAACCTTTTTGAGAGTATTTACAAACTTGTAGTTAATTACATTTTTTTTTCTCATACACCTGTTCCCAGTTTGAAGCACCTGTTTTACTAACCTATAACTTATTTTTTAATTTATAGACTTCTTTTCAGATTTTGTGTGGTTTCATTATTTGTAATTATTAGTGGCAGGTGTTAACATAAAAGTTTTACTTTTTTGTAACTAGAGCCATACAACCTATCAATTTGTCATTATATAAAGGGAAGTTGTCTCTCTCTACTGGTGATTAAAATGGTGACTGGTAATATACACTACCATATCAAGCAAGCTAGTGTGACTGCTATGCTTACCTGGCTGAGACCAGAGTATAGAGCAGGGGTGGCCAAACCACAGCCCTAGCTAGGGCTTTTTGCTGCTGCTGTTCAGTTCAAAATGTAGTCCCTGAAGGAAGCATGAAGAAAAGCCACCAAAAATTGTATTAGTATGATTAAGCCATGTAAGATCTAGCACATTGCCTTAAGAACAGCAGGCTTTCCATAAGTGTTTGTAAAATGAATGACCTAAAATTACATTAAAACATATCAGTTGCAAAACGGGCAGTTTGTTCTATGTAATAATTTAAATTTTGGTGAAGATTATCAATGTCCTTCCTGAATTCTAACTTTTACGGATCAGATTGACCACTTTGGCATGTAAAGAAAGGTTTTGTGAAACTTAAATGCATATTAAGTTGTGTGTCCCTCTTCTCCCACTCCCATCACCTAACAAAACAAAATACTTCCAACATTTTGAAAGTAGTCTTTCAAATAATACTGGACTCTCCCTTTATTGTTAAAAAGGAAATTTCTCTAAATTGAGATCCTCAAGGAAGGCTCCTTCCTAAGAATATTGTTACGTGCTCTCAGAGAGCATATGAATTACCTATCTGAAATGATTACATATCTGTCTGTCCTCCCTACTGTAGTGCAAATTTTCCCAAAACAGGAGCTCACTCGGTCACATGGTTAAGTACTGTCGAGCCGATTCTGATACATAGCGACCTTGTGTAGGGGTTTCCAAGGAACCACTGTTGGGTTTGAGCTGCTGACTTTTTGGTTCGCAATCCAGTGCATAATAATTCTTTAATTAAATTTATTGTTCAATCTGGCTATAATATAATTAGGAATTAAGTTAACCTGAAGATAATAAAAGACCAAAGTTAACAGCTTGAGCAGTATGCTTCTCCAAACAAAGGTGGTAAACCCAGGCTTCAGGACTCAGTCTTTAGATTCTATAGTCTACATGGTCCAAGACAGCTCACCACTACTATGAGTTTAAAAATGGATAGAGGCATGCCACCAGTTTTTTTTTGTTTTTTTAAGGTATAATACAGCTAGTTTTACATACTGCTGCCTCATCAAATGCCAGCATGTATTCATAGGATTGTGCCTATCTTCAGAAGGAAACTTTGCAATGTGATTTTTCTGAAGCAGTGCCAGTTACCCTGCCAAAACTCCTGCATTTTATCACTGAGGAGGGAATCTTGTTAAGTTTTTTTAAGTAGTACTAGTTTTACGATGCACAAGTGATGATTCTTTTACATATTTTTAATTGTTTTGTTAAGTGCCATCAAGTCAGTTCCAACCCATAGCAGCCCTGTATAGGGTTTCTGAGGAGAAGCTGGTGAGCTTGAACTGCCGACCTTGCAGTTCACATAGCTTTGCAGTCTGGCACATTAACCCACAATACCACACCAGTTTGCACACATTGAAACTCATAATTTCAATAAATTACACTCAATAAGTGAACCTTATAAATGCTTTCCATCAGAGCCTTTTCAACAACTAAGAGCTTCATTCTAATAAAGGGTAGTGCTATAGGATAAGCTGTTAAATGGCATCGTTTGTACTTGTGGCGACCCTGTATAATAAGCTTCTGAGAAGCAGCTCTTGAGTTTGAACCACTGACCTTGCGGTTCAAAGGGACCTTGTAGAACAGTGCTTATCATACAGTGCCATACCAGGATTTTGTATATAGAAAACCTTTAAGTCTTTAATTCATCCCCCTGCAAAGAAAAAAAATCCAAAACACACAACAACCCTCTTAAAAGGCTAATAACTAACCAAAGTTGTAGGGTACAGGGATCAACATATAAGAAAATTTGTTATATTTCTATTCTAATAGTAACTATGAACAAATAGTGAAATAAGGAAAGTGATTCCATTTATAATAGCACCAGAAAGAAAATACTTTGGAGTAAATTTAAATACACTCTGAAAACTATAAAACATGGTTAACACAAAGAACATCCTATGTTCATGGATTGGTGGTAGTGGTTCCTCATAGCAACCCTGCATTTGGTTTCTGAGACCAAATCTATGACAGCAGAAAATCTCATCTTCATCCTGCAGAACAGCTGGTAGTTTTGAACTGATGACCTTGTGGTTAACACCCCAAATCATAACTGCTACCAGAGCTCCTTGTGTTCATGGATTAAAAAACAATATTATGGAGATGGTGACTCTCCCCAAACTCATCTACATATTAAACACAACACTTTGTAAGAACTGACTGCTGATACTAAAGTTCATACAGAAATGTAAGCAACTCAAAACCAAATTTTCATCTTGAAAACCGTGATTTCAAAACTACAAAGCTTTACTAAGTACAGCATGGCACTGGCAAAAGGCTACACACATGGATGGAATGTTATGTGCCGTGGAGTCCGTTCCGACTCAGTGACCCTGTACAGGGTTTCCGAGGCTATAAATCTTTACAGGAACAGAAAGCCTCATCTCACTCCCGCGGAACAGCTGGTAGTTTCGGACTGCTGATCTTGCGGTTCACAGCCTGATTTGTAACCACTATGCTACCAGAGCGTAAAATGGAATAGGATTGAAATTATAGTCAACTGGTTTCTGACAAGGGTGTCAAGACAATTCAATGCAGGAAAGAATCCAACAAATAGTTTGGGCAGCTGTATATTTACATGAAAAAACACAGGTTGGACTGTTACTTAATAAAACCTGTGAGCTGGAACTCAGTGGGGCTGCCTTGTTTCTGGACTTCAAAAAGTTTCCACCTTTGAAGATGGAGTTACCACTTTTCTATTGCTCTCTAGTGGAAAATAGTTTTCCTACTATGGCTTTTGAATAAAAATTTACGTAGTGGTTACGAATCGGGCTGCGAACCTTAAGGTCAGCGGTTCGAAACTACCAGCCGCTCCGCGGGAGAAAGATGAGGCTTTCTACTCCC